GTTATCACCGGATATCAGTGACATCGAAACTAGTATAGACGGTATGCGGTTATTCAGGAGAGAAAGGGAGTTTAAAGAGGGAGGCGGGGTGGCGATGCTCACAAGTGGTGACCTTGAAAGCGAACGAGCGACTGAAACTCCACTTTCAGGGCTCCCAGGCTAAATCTGGTGTCAGTTTAAGGTTTGACGCACCAAGTACCTGGTAGGAGGCGTCTACAGAACTCCTGCTAGCAGCGCGGAAGATAATCGACAAATGCTGCAAGTAATGTCTGTAGTGACCGCCCTCGGAAATGACCAGTCCATTCTAGCCGGCAACTTTAATGCTCCGACTCTCAGTCTCAGGCAGGACAGGGGAACCTCAAGCCGGAGGTTCTGCCGCGACCTACTCAACACTATCAAAAAGGCTGGGCTGCTCGGGGATATCGGTGATGACACTCGCTGGATTTCTGGCGGAAAGCCATCCGAACTGGGCTACCTCTTTGCTAGTGATAGAAAATGTGCAGGTTCAACCCCTCTAGTCAGCAGCGATCACGGCGTGGTAGTGTTCGATCTGGCACTTAACGAACAATTGTCGCGGGAGGGATCTCTCTTCTGTCTTTGCTACAGCAGAACGAACTACGTGGCGACGAACCAATACCTGTCGACGGCACCATGGCCTCAGGAGTGGAGCAACCTGTCGATTGATCAACGTCGGGAAGAAGTTAGAGATATCCTCAAGAGGGCTGTCTCTGAAAACGTCCCGCCGCGGAAGCGAACCTCGTGGCCGAAGCGAGGCACTGAAAGCCTCTTGAAAGACAAGTGGAAAGCATGCCATAAATGGAGAACCCCCAGAAAAGAGTCTGACCACACCGTGTATACTGCCCTAAGAAATCGATGTAACATCAGAGAGAGGGGAAACAGGAGGTCATTCCAGACGAACCTTGCCCATATCGATTTATGGTAGGCAGAAAACCCACGAACCAGGGGGATTGCCTCCTGAAAGGCCTGGACAGAGAGAACCTCTCTGGACCGGAGATCACCGAAGCCTTTGGCGCCACCTTCGATACGCTGCCGAATACGTCCCCATCAAGCCGAAATAACCAACTGTCCGACCATATTCAGCACCGCCAAATACAGTAGAGTTACCTGGAATAAAGGGGACTCCTGTTGTGGTCCTCGAGGAACTGTCGAAGCTCCGCACAGGGAAACCACCAGGGCGTGATGACATCCGACCGGCTGTGCTGGAACAATGCGCGGGTGCCATGTGCGGACCGCTATGCAACTCGTTTCAGCACTCCTTAGACAATCGCATGCTTCCACAAGAGTGGAAAAGTGCTATTCTGTCCCCCAACTTTAAAGGTGGAGACAGGCAGAACCCAAGATGCTACCGACCAATTGCCCTTCTACCAGGCTTGTCAAAAGCAGTGGAGAGCCTGGTAGACGACCATGTCAGAGAGTACTTAGAAAAGGGGGAGCAGTAGGTGATACTCAAAATGGTTCAGAAATGGTAGGTCCTGTGCCTCAAACATCCTGGCGGCAGGTGATAAGTGGACGGCATGCTGGGACCTCCAAATTCCTGTCCATGTTATGCTAAGGCCTTCGACACAGTCCCATATACCATTCCTATTCACAGAGTAGCAAGGTTGGGCATCAAGTGACAAGTGCTTCCATGGTTACAGGACTACCTAGACGGTAGACAGTTCTGCACAAAAGCCAACAGAGTTTTGCTCGACTTAGAGAACATCATCTGGTGCATCACAAACAGTGATTCTGGATCCGCTTCTATTCCTTCTTTTTGCAAACGACCTCACACTGAGTCTCAGCTTCCCAATTCTACTCTACCCTGATGATGTTAAGTCATAGAGAGCTACGAAAACAGAATTAGGTGCACTGCAAAGTGACCTCAAACGACTTGGAGAGTGGGTGGATATTAATGGATTTGCATTTAGACACGAATCTCCTACAGAAAGTCCAAAGGCGAGCTACAAAGGGTGTCGTGAGAATGAGGTGACAAACATATTAGGAAAGGCTGAAAGATATAGGGCTCCACTACCTAAGTTGCTGGAAATTACGTGGTGACTTGACAGCGGCTTACAAAATACTGAGTAACCCAAATCGTCCGAACAGCGGAATCCCACCGAATGTTCACTGTGGCGGTCCTCGTGGTAACCCAAGAAGAATCGCCATCAAAGAGCGAAAACCCGTGTGTGAGCACACCTCTTCTCTCCGCGACTTTGCGGCCACTGGGATGCATTGCCTGCCGAGATGCTACCACTCCGTCTGTTGACAGCTTCAAGAAGAGGTTCAACAGTTACGCAGGGACGCACGGTTTGCACAGTTCCTTCTGACGTTACGTTTTCGCACTTTACTAGAAGCTCTCTCTGCCACCTGTTCCCCATAAGCCTACAAATGTTTCTTCTTCCGTGCTTTTTCTTTTTTCCCAATCTTTTTTCTCTTTCTTTTTTCCTTTTCTTTTTCTATTCGTCTTTCTCTGCACTTTCTCTCCCTTGCTTTCTCTGAGCATATTTTTCACCTCCTTTTCACAGCCAGTCGGATCAATTATCTGCTGGCACGACATCTGAGGGACCCATCTGCACCACAGTCCTTTAAAAGAAAAAAGAAACATACAACACTCCCTACAAACTTAACCAACACCCAACAGCCCATTGGGCTAACCAAAGCTACAGCAGTCGAGTGGGTAGACCTTATGCATCCGAATCCACTAAAGACCTGGAACCGTTCCGCAAGACCTAGAAGCGAGCGCGAAGAATACAATTGGTCTACACTAGCTCGTAAAAAAGATATTGGATCTTGGTTGTACATAATGCTCTTATCGTTTAGCGCGCATTTTGGAGTCTCAAGGTCGGTTTACACTATTCGTAGTATCTTCATTGTGCCTACTCATTGTTGATATTTGAATAGTTGTGCTTCCTAAGCTTGTAACATGTAAAGTCAAACAGGTATCGGTTCGGCAGCTTTTAATTTTTGCTAATGATGGAGTCAGTTTTCAACCCTCGAAATAACTGACTTCACTTACTTTCTTGGAAAGTTTGAAGCAATTACCACGAAACAGTGAAGTAATGTAATGTAATAATGTAACCGTTTCTGTCAGGCATTTCGCGCTTATCCTTGGTATTACAAAGTTACTGGTGTTTCCATGCCATATATTATCTTTACCTTTGTTTCCGGTTCATTTCACCGGCAAGAGCTGTTTGTGAGGTACTAATACACAAATGACAGTGCTGTTGTCGATGTTACGCTACTCCTAGATTTCACCACCGGAAAGGTAGCTAGGGATTTGTGATGATATTCATCTCTTTAAAGAGACTAAAAAAGCTATAATTCATTCAGTTAATTAATTTAATGAACTATAGTCTTATTTAAGGAGTCGAAATCTAGCTACTGAGTCACTTTATTTACTCACTAAATGTTTGCAATATCTAACTTTTATGGCTTCAACGTTAGTTGTGAAGTCAATCAACTACGCGTCTTAAACAATTCGTTACGTGGGTAAAATCGGAAATTCGTATCTTCCTTGAACAACTCACGGAGTCACTTCGAGCTAAGCATCTGACAATCAGATGATAAATATTTAAGCTGTGGCACAGACTTACTAGTATGAAAAGAAGAAATATACTATTAATCGTTTCGAGGTAAATGGCGAGTTAAAGGATGGTTAGACACTCAGAATTATTAACCTCACTAGCCTACCATTACTTTCCCTACCTACATTATCCGCCAACTCTTTTCCAGCAACTAGATTTATGCTACCTACCTTTACTTTTCGGGTAATTCCCACATACTTTTTTCTCACTAGCTTGCTATTTCCTATTCAGGCACCCACGCAGACAGAAGTTACGACAGGTCGTTAGTCTTCTGAGCAACTTGCAGATCCAAAATCACTCTACAAATTCCAATTTACTAACCACTAAGACATTCACTTCACCGAAGATAAAAGCAAGAAAGCAGAAGAGATTCCCTTATGCACTGCAGGAGTAAACTGAACAACATGAACCAAACCCCAAGATCTAGACACGAAAGATCGGAAAGTATCTGTTTTCTATGCTCTCACTACCAGTGTTGGGTTTTGGATGTATCAGTTATTTTACACATTTTGTATTGATTAAAGTGGAAGAAATCAGGAGTGAAGGACTGTTGTCATTGAAGTGCTCACCCTGATAAAACACTACAACTCTTGGTCCTTTGAATCCTGACATTGAATTTAAGTGTACTAAGAGGTCAAATCATACCATTAAATAGCAGAACGGAGGGGACTAGTTCTCAGTGTCGGCAGTCGGAACACACCATACTTCTTGGCTTTCTGTTTTATTGTTCAGCTCTTAGCAAAACCTAAAAATAAAGTGTCTTTTTAAGCGTGGCCTCTAGATCTTGATACCTAGTTTTATTTTTGCAAACTAACTGCTGACTTTCAACAAATATAAGGACCACAACTCCTTAGCCACTTTTCACCACTAGCTTTGAATTTCAGCAATGACCACACTAGGTATGATAGTGGCAACAGCAATTTCTGAATTTGAAGCCCATTATGAGTCGAATAAAGAGTCACTGTTGATTGACCCTGCAAAAGGATGTTGCGGTGTGTTGATTTCTCCCCTTGCATGGCTTGTAATTACTTAGCTTGCATGACAGTTACGGATTAGCTGTAAGAAAGAAAAAAGTTTCCTAGTATCGTAGTTTTGTCAGAAAATGGTTGTATTTCGCTGTTATCAGGTGAACTATTTTCGTTATTTTCGGTGCTTTTCGTCTACACACCTTTAGTTGTCCATGTCTTTTTATTTTTCAGATATCTTTAAATCACTTTCTGAGTTTGTTTATTGTCTACACATCAGGATTTATTGGTATTGAATCAAAATATTATAGTGGACCATTTACCTTTCGATGGTGGTCACCCGTTGGATCTCCGCCTTATTTTTTGTGCTCTTGTTCTATGTTTGGAAAAATGACGTATCTTTTATTTTATTGACTTTTAAATCTAATAAAAAGTTTTTACATCATTTTGTATGAGAAGCAAAAAGAGCCGTCACAAATTGGTTGCTCTCAACTTCTTGTCGAATATATCGCTTGATGGGAAGCATGAATCTAAACCTAATGGAGTTGACTGCCACTCATCAGCTCCATGTATTTGCAGTGACGGTAAGTTCTTTCTCCTATAGTGGTGCTTTTTATACAGGTGGATCAACTGCACAGTATGCATGTTTCAATTAGCTTCTTATAAAACAGTTTTTAAACAGTAAGCTGGTATGTTTCATACTCATATCAAAAAGTATCCTTGTAAAGGATGTAAGTGATGCAGGCTACATTTGTCTTTCTTCCAATTTTTTGCTGTTTTGGTGTTTTAGATTGCTAATGCACTACTAATAGGTTGCTGGGCATCATCCACAAATGACGTATTGTCAGGGTGCTGTTGTTTATGGTTTTCATTTCAGAGATTAGTGGGTCTTGGACGAGATTAACATTGTACACTACCAATCTGATGTACAGTTATCAGTATATTGCTTTGAGCAGACAAAGAACGTCTATCACTATGAAGAGTTGATCAAAAATTAAATCGTGCCTTTATGTTATGCCTTTAAATATGTGAAAATTCCACTTTTAAGCCCAAAATATGTCAGGAAACGGATGTTGGTGTGCACTTACTCGACAAGTGATATAAATGTTTAGCGAATAGTATACATCTACGTATTCTTTTTAAGTCACAGGTTTATTTAAGTGTAACATTTTCGTCGTGATTCATTCCGGAGATGCATATTATTTCATAGTATACATGTTGAACAAGTGGAGTAATTTGGTATAAGGCTGTAGGCCTTAACAATAAATTTCAATCTTTAATAAGGTGATGACTACCTCGAAACGATTTACAATAATTGAACCCACTTCCTTTCTTTTGATGTACAAAGTATCTGAGGGCTCTGACACTTGGATTTGTATTCTCTAGCTTAAGTGACACTGAGAAGGTCTGATTGAGTAATATTACAATGGATCTTCCTTTATAGATATCTCTCCTATACTTTCGTTCCCACTTATTCTTGCTTAAATACTCTTCTTTCCTTTCCTGTACACTTACTATCGTAATTAGCAATCGTAAATAATTACGTACTAGAAGTTCAGATGCCTGATATTATTATGCCAGCTGGCAATATGAAAATGACAATGTAGATTTAAAATGTTATCCACTTTTAGTCTAAGACGATTTTGGTAGTAAGTAGTGTTGTATTATTCTAATTCGTTTTCCATCTCTGAACTTTGTTTTGTTCGACGCATTCCCTATCTTAGTGTTATTTGTTGTGTCTTTCCGAGTTTATATATAATGGTGTAGTGAGCTAAACTTTCAGTCATGTGGTTTCTGAAAAGTATATAGTGATCCACTGGGACTTCTTTTTGTGCTATTTATTCATTTTATTCGCAAGTTAACTTTATATGGATGACTTTTACGTTTGAATTTGGAGACGCTTTTTAACCATCCACCTGTTTATCTCTACCTTCCTGTAACTAGGATTGTACGGACCTAAATTTATTGCATCAACTAGGTTTTAATCCAATTCAACGCTTTGCACCGTGGATTTTGGCTAGTTATCGTAGGATTTAAACTGTAGGTGTAGTCTGTGAGAATGATATCCATTCAGTGTGGATCAACAGATGTCTGTGTTGATGTAGAATCTATTGAGTTACTTTGTTTCTCTGTTCTGAGTCCAGTATTCCGTGACATCAGAATTGGAGATATGCCAAAGTTCAACCCTTCAGTTAATATTAATATGAGACTCATCATTACTGCATAACGGTTCAAGTTCTCACATCTAACATCAAGATAAGGCATAAAGAAATGAAAATAATATCAAGGTTGTACGAAGCTATGAAACCAAAAAGAGAAGCAAGCAGCTTAATGTAATAAACTGATAAAATGAAGAATAAAGTGAAAACATCTACCCCACAGGGATCGATCCCACCCTTATCACCTAGAATTTCTAACCAAAAAGTACGTGGTATTTTGAGACTGTGTTTACTTCATTTTGGGTTTTTGTTTGGAATCCATGTCAAAATCCAGTTAATTTAGCACTAGTCTATGTATGTTGTCGATTGGTGAAATCCATGTTCTCATTATTACACGGACATACTCTACGTCTTTTCAAATTATAAATATCTAAGCCATAGTTGTTACGAATGTCCTGAAAAAAGTTAAACACCGAATCAGGTTGATTCGTTATATGGATAAGTTTTAATGTAGTCCCTGTGTGTTTAGAAAATCGAAACCAAGATTTTTCTGAACGTTTCGCTGAGAATGACGCAGCTTCTTCGGCAGACTATCCGGATTTTTATCCACAAAAGTTGAAATGAAGATCCGGATATTCCGCTGAAGCTGTGACACACACAGCGAAACGTTCAGAAAAATCTTGTTTCCAATTTTTTAAACACGCTGGGATTATATTAAAACTTGCCTATATAATCTTTTCAAATTGTTGCCTTAAGAAACGTTCCTTTTTGCCTGATTGCAATTGAAGCTAACTTAGGTAGCATTTTGGTCTGATTCATAATGAGTAAAGAATCACTCATGACATACTTTAATAAATTACCTTTTTTGAAGGTTCTAGGCACTTTACTAAACTCTTAAAATGCATCAGCATGAAGGTTGCCCTGATTTAGGCTCCAACGGATGTTAGTGGGATTGAAAGTGATAGCTACATGCTTTCTGTTCTCAGTCATTTTCAAATTATGTCTACAATTGAAATAGGCCTGTTAACTACCTGCTTTGTGAAAAGTTAATCTTGATGATTACCAGATTTTTTCGGGGTATCTTTATATATATATATATATATATATATATATATATATATATATATATATATATATATATTCCAAACTTTGTGCTTTGTTATCTTAATGAGTAAATAAAAGTATTTTCTCTGTATCCTTTTATTAAGGAAAAAACGTGAAAACGTTTGAGGATAACCCAGTTTATGGACAGCAAACCAGTGACACATATTACGAAACAGTAGAGACATTGGTGCCAGTAAAGGTCTTACGGGAACCTGAGGCATCCTCAAATTCGGCAGCACATACCCAGATCCATACTTCCTACAACAGTTGTGTGAATACAAGCAAGGCGGAAACATGTTCAAATTATTATATTCCAAATGTTGCCTGTTCAGATGCCTCGTATGTAAACTCAAATGTTAAGAGGTAAACTGATCATTTTTTACTTATTGTCTTGCGAAAGGCTGTTGTGGTCCTGTTAATTGAGTGATACAGATTTTTAAAAGGTAGTTAACCCCACTAACTGGCATTGGTTAAAAAGTCAGTAAAAATTTATGACTACAAGATAACTTATCCTCTTATCCTCATTTGAGACTTTTCAACAAAGTCCACTTGTCCATGAATATGAAAATGATTTAAATTAGTATTCCTCTTGTAACATACTTTCCTTGGAAGTATTCGTAAAGTTATGAATATTTTTTGATTTGATCTTTCTTTAAACATTGATTAAGTTTTAAACATGTTATCTATCCAACGTGATGTGTCTCTGTACATTGTGCTCATTGTAACTAGCAATTAAGCTTGTTATTTTAGTTATTTTGTATTTCAGTTAATGTTGTTATACTTGCGTTTATTTTTAGATTGGAAAATGTAACGGATCAGTTGTCTGCGGATAAAGCACTGGCGTGTAAGTAGAGGCTTTTTCTAATTATTTCTGGGTATTTGTAATTTACCGTACCGATAATATTACTTCGTGATGGCGTTTTCAAACCCTAATTTCATATGATGGTGTTTCTATCGACGGAATGCTTTGGGATATAGGTAATTTTATCCAGCAATATTCGCTAAATATGCTTATTTACAACCTCATCTTGAATTAAAGAAATAGGTGGGACTTGTGGATGTAATGGGTCGATGATTGATGACGGATGGGTTCAAAAGGCTCGATCGGCTTTTTTTAAATATTAATTTCAAGTTGGTATTAACCATGGAATGACATCAGTTGGGGGCCTGGGAGTACTGGGCAGCTGTGCGCACCCATGACCTCTGAGGAGTCCCATACTGAGACGAAACAGCTGTCCACTACTGTGTGTGTGTGTGCTGTTCTTGGAACTGACCTTTCCTAAGTCCTCTTTCCCACAGGGAAAACAGCATCAGCCTGGCACTGCTAGTCGATCAAGGGAAACACCTTACTGGTGTCAAACCCCATCCAACTAGAAGCAGTACGACTTCGCCTTTAGACTCCCATAATAGTGTAGTAATTCACGCTACAGTGGGAACTGCTTCTCGACTTACCACTATTCAACATATCTTTCTGTCTCCATAGAATCTGGAGGAAAAAAAACGTTCCAGCCAGTGTAACTCGTTGGGTTAGTGTGATATGCAAGTCCAACCACCACATCAAGGTCTCAATTATCGGTTGGGACTAATTATGCAACATGATAACAGGTTAACCACTTGAAATCTTCGAATGTATAAAATTCTAAGACGCTAGCTTGTATTTCTCCCCAGTAAATGAAATGAAAGATGGTTGAGGAGTAGTTGTGCTAGATGGTCGACCAAATTTAAGTAGTAACATGAAGTGTGCATCACTAAAGTAAATACATGTCCAGTAAGCACTGAAAATACAGCAAGAAAATGAAAAATGGATTTAACAGCAATCATGTCAAGTTAGGAACAAGAATTCTGTGAGTCAACGCACACTTTATCAGGTCTAGAAGAACACCAGGTTTAGGAGTACAGAGTAATTCGATGTCAACAGCATACATTACTTTCTTTTAATCCAAATAGATTACATAAAAATATTTTATGGAGATTAATCAACCATATGTACTGTGCAACTTCAGCTAATCCCTTTTATGATAATTTAATTCTGCGACTGTTGTAGACATCCATAAATGAATTCAACGCTTACTAGTTTTACACTGGTTTGAAGATACATAATATACTTATAAAAGTCTATCATATAAATCCACTCTTTTTGTCTCATTCATTCGGGGAGATAATACATTCCCGTTCTCTTTTACGATTACTTTATTCAGTATTCTCAGGAACGAATAATCTCATTTCATACCTTCTACCCTACATACAAATGAATCGAATCAATTCGACAATAATATCCAATTCACTACAAAGTAATTAGAAAGTACAATGTCTTAATTCTTCGTGCATCAGTAAATGACTTCATTGTAATGTTCTGTACTTTGTTGGTTGCCTTTTGAAAATCATGATTCATTGCACAATAAAACCCATCCCAAAGCCTTCACGTGAAGGCAAAGTATGTTGGTTGATCAGCATCATATCGAAATGCGCACTTGAATGATCAAATCCAGGTTCTCTGTGACAGTGTACGGATTAACAACTGGTGTTTTTTTTATCGTACAGAGAATTGTTGACAGCAAAGCCAGTAGCTTAAAAGAAGTAAAACTAACCTTCATTACAAATTACACGGAAATGAGTTCAAGACTTAGCATAGAAATAATCAAGCTTTAGAAGACGTGAAAGAGTGAATACATCTGCACACTTGTGACCGATTTTCAGCCAATCCACCAAGAGTCTTCAACCACTCCTTCCTATCATCTGGAACACCTCAAAAAGTAGTCTGCATCTCCTCACACGGCTTAGATTAACACCCTGGAACTTCATCGACTGACACCACGTTTTGGTCTGGCCACCCTGAAACCTCTTCCAACCTAATCCAGCCTCACCCACCATGGTACATCGGGTTAGGTTGTGCCTCGGCATACCCAGTACATATCCAAGCCATCTCATTCGATGAAGGTTCACAACCTCACCAATCGACTTGCCTATCTTGACCAGACCAGTATAATTCGCCTGACCTCAATATTGCTCACACAATGATTCCATCAAATGAAAGCATACTACGAAAATAAGTATGATCAAAAACCTATAACCAATTCGTGTCTTTTACTTTCAATAGCCATGTCTCAGTCGTATAACACGACAGAACGGACTACAGCGCTGAATACCCTCTATTTAATAGGTAGTCGAATATTTCGTCAGTGGTCGCCACAGACGACACAAGTTGTCAGATGCCAAACAGACCTTTCGTATCCGAGCTGTGATTTAGTCAGCAGCCACATTTTTCGAGCTGATGTAACTCCCTAAGTGAGTCAAGTGATTGACACATTCCACCACTTCACTCCCTATCAATAAACTGAGAGTACTTGCAGCAGACCAGTTCTGGAGCATCATCTTACGTATCCCACGGACGTCTGCCCACAGAGAGGTGAGTACGGTCAACAAGAGCATTACCCAGCAAACGTGGATACGTGGGAGCGTGATAGTTGTGAGGGAGGGATTCACTGAAGGAATACATTTGCGAAGACTTTAACCAGAACACTCCGGTAGGGGAATTCTTTTTCATGTATAGTCGTTACCTGGGAATGTTTTCTGCTCGGTGAGGGAGGGGACCGACCTCTCAGGTTGTTTAGACGACAACGTTCAAGTGAACGAATGTCCGACATGGAACTGGGAGCTGAGTCCAAAACTAAAGTAAAACATGAATAGCATTACTTACTCGCTCGATACTGCCTTCAGTCAGACACTGCTACAACAACTTACTGTAGACTGAGATAAGTACCACCTTCTGGTCAAGAAACATGGCAAGTGCGGGCCATTTGCTGGTGAGTATACTTGTGTGGCAGAACTTATCGTAGGTTAAAATCTGATTGACGCACCCTCGTCCAGGTTTGAAATTACCTAGTTTTTTCGAATTTGCTGTTCTGGAGCTACTGTTTGGCGTCGAGGATCTTGAACTTGATGTTAGTCAAACTAATTCATCTATAGTTGTCACAGGAAGACTTCTCTCCTTTCTTATAGAGTGGGATGATCAGTGAAGTAGACCAGCCTGACAGGACTACCTCTGGTTCCCATACACTGCTTCGTACTTCCATCACTCTAACCAACAACTTCTTACCGCTATCCTTGAAAACTTCGGTTGACAAACTATCAGGTCCTACTGCCTTGAACCGTTTCAAGTTCCATACAGCCTTCAGAACATCAAAGAGAGATGTAGAACAGATATCTACGTCCCATTCAGCCTAGCTGGATGTTGGGACACTGAAGCGTTGCTGAAGGCCAGTTGAAATGTATTTCAAAATTCTGTGCGAGAAGTCCCATCCGTCTCTCTTGGGTGGTTATCAGCGTCCCATCCTTTTTCATGAGGATTTCACTAACCACCAACGTTTCCTTCCTACCCGGTATACTAAAAAGATATAAGCGGTCGACGTGTTCTACTCAACAGTGAGTGATACCTTCTTCATCTCTCTCGGCGTCACCAACCACCACTGCTCGCGATCGTTGCAAAATCTCTTAGTCGACATATATTTAAGTCACTGTCACTCCTCATTGTGATCAGAGCCAACTGGAATCAGTCTTCTGGCACCAGTCAGTTCGGATAATCTAGCGGAAATCCAGTAATGTGTGCCAACCTTTGGGTGAAGGTTACTGCTGTTTCTACAGCACACTTAGTATCACGCTATGCCAGGTTTCTTCAGTATGAGCATTGTTGTCACTTGCAGATGAATGCTTAGCTAACCCCTCCCTAAATACGTACTTGGCATCCTCATTTTCCAGTTGGCAACAGACAGGCTTTCCTGTGACTAGTAAGGTGCAGACATACACGAGCCCGTACTAGCGCGTGATCGTTACTCAAGAAAGAGCGGTGACCTTCCTCTGATTCCCTCCAACAATGGCTTACACAAATATATAAGTATGATCTATCTATGTCAATTGTTAGTTTGGCGTCGGTGGACACCATGTGAGACAGTTTCTCTTGTTACGCCTAAAGTTATGGCTGGTCAGAAAGAAGTGATTGTCGGAACAAAGGTGCTACAGATGACCGCCGTAATTGGTTCATTTTCGTGGGGTTCCACAGACACCATCAAGATGCCTCTAGGATTGGCTCAGCTTCACTACTTCATCGTTGAAGTCGCTTCCTGTCATGAATATTTGTAGCGTTTCGCTTTCTGTAGCTTGGTTAACAATTTTTTATAGGATTCATCCCTTGCATCATTCGAACTCCAGTCAGTGGGTGCGTACGGAAGGATTACGAATAGGCGTCGGTTAGTCTCGCAATGCTTCTTAGTTCTCACAAATCCTTTTGATGAACAGCACATAGATGGCTCTTTACTTGTACCCAATCGAGATGCGCACTGTCTTCTCTACACCTCAGTGCTATGCATACACCAGCGAGTCCACGAGAGGTAACCATTTCATCTCCAGATACTCGTAAGTTGAATTTTGAGGATTCATCGCACCTATCTGCTGAGATCAATATAGTAATCACACTGAGGTCCTGTATACATGTCGCAGAGATACAGCCTACATCCATTGGTTGGGATTCCAGAGTTGTGGCAAGCGATGCTTACTGTCCAGTTTGACATCGAGTTCAGACGTTGAAAGCTCCAACATGAAATCGGTGATGGGGTCTCAGGAGGCTGGAAATGAGGTCCTGATGGCTGTGATCGTTCGCCAATGGTTGCAGAGTAAGAGGTTGGGGAAGGTTTAAGAGGCTTAATATTGGTTTCATGAGGTAAACGCAAAGGCGGAAACAGAGTTGAGGAGGATAGGTTATATTTGATTGGGTCTACTGGAAACTTGCAGGCAGTTGACATTTCTAGTTTGCCAACACTGTGGAATTGTATTTCTTCTTAAGGTGCCCGGAAGATAAAATGATTTGTGTAACCGCAGAGCCCATGGGACATCTACTTTTAGGCCTATCACACTGCTTTACATCAGTAGACATCGTGAATCGACGATGGACAATGTGTTTCCAAAAATGGGATAGTCGATGTAGTCATTTGATATCAAGACTTGTAATTATTGGTATAATGCATTCTTTCATCAGGAGTGAATTTTTTTTGTTTGAAATATTCATCTTTTTATGTTGTCTTCTGTTTTTTCTGTCATGCATTCGAGTTCTACTACCTTCTCTTTTTTATTTAGCCACTGATTCAGTCAGTCCACTCTTTGGTGCAGTACCAAAAACTTATATTAGAGTTAAACTTTCACGTGAATCTACTGGCTCACATTACAGTCATGGTTTAGAAGATGTAAAACTTTTGGGTAAAGTGAACCCGAAATTGTCTCAGAGTACCTCATGTCCTATGTTTTCTAAACGGTAAGTTAATGAGTATGCTTTTTAAAGATAGAGCTACACAGGTTATTTTTCAATGACTTCATTATGATTTTTAATGATTTTTTTAGGTGTTAAAATTATCTAGTCTAATTCTCATACCTCAAATAATATTGTAGTCAAAGGCTAAAAAGGAGGCGAGAGACAAACATCAAAGTTGAGTGAACATCTGTTGTTTGTTAGTGATTTTGAAACAGGTACCCCAAAATCTAATACGAAGATGTTAGTTTCAGGGTCGGTGAAGTTGGTTGGGAGGGCAGAGATACCCATTGATGAAACTAGATAATGATCACACTATTTTGGTATTTTCATTTCCGGATTCATTCAAAACAAAGCACGTGAAGGACGAAATTCCTCTGGATTCAAAATCTAGTTATGTTTATGAAATAATCGGCCCACTGCTATGCAATATACATAGAACAAACTTGTGAAATCAAATTTTAGAAAAATAAACACTGAAGACCTTCTACCCACCCCTTTAGATATCGAGTAAAACTGAATGATCTTGAAAACACGTGTGTGTTCTTAAATCACTGATCGGTGCAGCGAGGCCTATATGTATGTGGTTTCATTTGTGCTAAAATTGTCTGTTGAAAATACTTTGATGAACCTTTTTCTTGGTTTCTCCATGTGGTCAGTGAGAAAAGCTTCACCCACCTGCTTTGATATAGTTTCTCCTCTCTCACCAGTTTCATTTCCCTGGAAAATATTGACATTCGTCCTATATGTTCCTTTATTCATTTCAGAACAGTCACTGGTATAAAATATGCCATTATTTTAACGAATTATTTGTTGGTATGCACACAGTTAATTACTGATGGATTTTATTCTGTTTTATTGTTTTGTTGTTTGGTTTTGTCTTACAAATTAAGCCTATTAAGAAATCAGGTTGCTCATGAGTATTTAGTTTGAGAAAATTTATGACTAGGATGAAAGTAAGTGTTGGCGTATTATTATTATTATTATTTATCCCTTGGGTTCCTAGCGGAACATAGGGCTTCAGTAGCACGTCTTCATTGCACTCTGTTCTAGGCATTCTTTTGAACCTTGCTCCACGACTGCCCACAAGCTTTCATTTATTCCTCACACCATCTCCATGTCATCCTCGACGCCCAACTTGTCATTTCCCATTTGAATTCCACTTGAGGGCCTGGCCTGCCGCATGATGTCTCCGAATGGTTTTCTCAGTGTACGCCCAATCCATCTCCACTCCCTTCTGCATATTTGTTGGGCAATAGGTTCTTGGTTTAGTGGTTCGCTGCCAGAGTGAGTTCCTTGTTGCTTATTCTTATTATTCTGGCCATATGATCTTCATTGTCAGTATCGAGTGAGCGTAGGCGGCAGCTGTGGATGTGATATAAGTCTGTAGTTTGTTGGAAATGCTTTTCGTGACGTGCCAAGTTTCTGAACCATATTTAGAAGCACTGACTTGACCGATGTTGGTGTTGAAAATCTGGATCTTGTTCTTTGTGCTGAGTGTAGTGGAGTAGATGTCGACACTGATTTAAGATTGATGAAAGAAGGCCTGTCTTGCTGTCTTTCTGATCCTGGCTTTGACGTTCTCGTCTGTGCCTGTGCCACCTGTAGCTGAAACGATGCTACCTAGGTAGGTGAAAGAG